ATCTAAAGAAAGCATGAGGGAAATAAAATAACTTGAATTGAAAGGAAGCAAAACTAGTATATCAAAAAATCAGAGGCTGTAACTAATGCAGTGGCCAGAGGGAAATTTATAGCTCAAAACCGTATGAGAAACAGCCCTGGCTGGTGTGGTTCGGTGGATTGAGCACTGGCCTATGAACCAAAAGGTAGCAGGTTTGATCCCCCAGTCAGGGCACATGCCTGGGTTGCAGGCCAGGTCCCCCCACCTGGGGGTATGTGATGGGCAGCCAACTGACTTATCTCTTACACACCTGTGCCTCTCTCCCTCTCTTTCTCCCTCCCTTCCCCTCTCTCTAAAAAATAAATAAAATACTTTAAAAAAATACGACTGAAACACAGAAAAAGATTTGTACAGTATATGGAGGAGAGACTATGATTGATCAAATGTGTCAAAAGTGGTTTCTCACCAGATGATGCTCCAGGGTTGGTCAGATAGACCAGCTGAGGTTGATAGTGATCAAATCAAGACATTAATTGAGAACAATTAATGTTCTACCATGAGGTAGAGAGCCAACACACTCAAAATATCCAAATCAATAAAGTTATTGGTGAAAATGAAAAATGTCTTTTATTTCACTGAAAAAACCATATGGACTTTTTGGCCAACCCAATATTTCTAAATAAACAAAAACTGAGAGAATACGTCACCAGCAGATTCTATAGTAAAGGAAATACTACAGAGGGTTCTTCAAGCAAAGGAAAAATGATCAGATTTCTAAGCAATTAAAAAAAGAAGAAGAATATATAAGATTTCAGAAGACTGGAGGAAAGAGAAGCTCCCAAAGCTTCCAAGGGGATGTGGGGATCGGAACCTACAAAGATTCTGGCACCAAAAATCAGAACAGCTTCAGATTTCTTTCAGGGGCAACTCAGAAAGCAAAACAACAATGGAGCAAAATTGCAATGGCATTTTTGGAAAGTTCAGCAAAAAGATTCTAAAATTAATTTAGAAAATAAATGTGAGACTAGTTATAGAAAAGATAAAGGAAGATAAAAATATAAATGAGGAAGGCTTGTGTTACCAATATTAAAATAAATTACTAAATTACAATAATAAGTTGTTCAAAGTGTAATACCTATTCACTATTTAACAGATAAAGTTGGGAAAAAATATGGGAAAAGAAAAAGAAGGGATGAAGCAGTATCAAAAGCAAGTTTTGAGCTTTCCCAAAAGGTATAAATAAGGTTAAAAAGATAGAATGATGGCACAGGAAACGGCTGCTGACTGGCAGAGAGGGTAAGTGGAACAACCTGGGAATAAGATGCATTCAAATAGAACATTACTATGAGAACACCCAAAAAGTTCAATTTAAATAAGGAAACAACAGTTTCACTGTGAAAGAATATGCAAATGTAAATAAAGATTATTTTTTTTAAAGGGGCACTGGAGTAATGTTTTAAAAATTCTGAGGAAAAATTGTCTCCAACCTAGAATTTTATGCCCAAATTAAGGTAAAATAGACATTTCAAACATATAACATTTCCTGCAATGCAACCTTCCCCCCAAACAAGCAAGTAGCCCCAGGATAAAGTAGTCGTGGATCCCGACGGCAGACCTGCTAGAGGGAAGGGAGCCCTCACTGCAGCCTGGAGGAACCCCAGGGCCACGGCTGGCCAGTGGCCTCCAGAGCAGCCAAACCAAACCAAAGCGTCAGGTTTTCACAGACTCCGAGATTTCTAAGATGACACTGAATGATGTGGGGATGGGTCACTACATGCATTATTGAGACCTCAATAGCAACATATACAACTTAACCTTGTTTGGCAAACCTTGGTTAGGTCACTATCCTTTGAGAAACACATGACCCATCCCTGGGCTGTCCCTGACGTGGACAGAAACTGCTGGTGTCTGAGGGTGAAGCGTTTCTGACCTCCAGAAAAAAGGCTGCCTTTTCGTGGTCTCCAGTGGTTCGCAAGAGCAGAAAGGGCACAGGGGAGGAGAGGTGCAAATCCCCAAGCCTGTAACAAGCAGTAAGGGTACCGGGGAGGACTCAGACAGCAGAACCCCACGCCTGACACCATGGTCAGCCTCTCGGTGCCTGAGTGCTTGGACACTGCAGCTGGACTAAGAACCAGGGTCACAAACACCCCAGGGCTCACGCGTGGGACATAACGGGGCGAGGCCTGACACAGAACTTCTGACTCTCTTGCAGAACAGGTGCTCAGAGCTAGGGGTAATTAATTCTATTTAGACAATCCAAAGAATAGAATTTGGGGCAGGGGAGGATGAAATTGACAAAATAGCATTGAAATGTAGCATGAGGAGAATTTGAAGTTAAATTAGTGGCAAGTACATAAATGATTATGTACTTAGAAAATGAAGAAAGACAATTTTTATATCCAAGTTAAATAATTGTGCAGAAAACAAAAATAATCATAGTATATACTACATAGCTCACCTATACATATAGATTTTGCATTGTTACAATAAAATAAGACTTTACAAAAGTAAAACTTTAATAAAAAATAGAATAAATTTCAATAAATGGAAAGACATGCCATATCTGTGAATAGGAAGACTCAATAAATATCCTCCCCAGTCAAGGACAATTACATGTCAATGCAATGACTTTTTTCTTATTTTCACTCAATTACTCAACTGATCACACAAAACAGTATGTGGGTGGCATTCACTATGAAAATTTTGAAAATGAAATTCCTTAACAAATATTAAAACATAATAAATTAAAATAATTAAAACAACATCACATTGGTTTTAACCAGTGAATCAGAATGAAGTACTCAAGAAATAATTCAAAGTGTTTTAGAATATGACAAAGGTAGTGATTTAAATCTAAAGAAAAATATTTTTCAATAAATCTTCTAATAGCACCAAGACAATCACGAAGATCCCACCAAGATCAATTCCAGAAAGTTAACACTGGAAAACATGAAACATAAAATAACTAGACCTATCTAGGCAGAAAGGTGAAGGCAGAAAACATAAATAGTAATATTCTCGAATGCTTACTATATTCTAGGAACAAACCAGGGCTGGGTGTGCCCTGTGAGAGAAGAAACACAGCCCCCCCGTGATCAAGAAGAGACAGCATAAACCATTACGAATTCCACCTAAAAGTCTGAGCCACCCTCACCCTCTGCCGCACCCCACATCAGTGACAGAATTGGCTGAACACTGCTTCCAAAACATATCCCGAAGCCGAGCTCGTCTCAGCACCTCACCTGCTGCCTCCCTCATTCCCCCAGAGGATCACAGCAGCCTCCAGGTTGGTCTCCCTACTTTTTCCCAACCTACGAATTTATTGTTTTTATATTCCAGTCACACCACTTCCCTCCTTGCTACAAGACCTGCATCTGACTCTGGAAAAAAAAAAGCCAAAATCCTTACACTAGCCCCACAGAGCCCTTTCTCCTCCATCTGCTCCATCCTTCCATACTCTTTCCTGGCTTTGGTCCAGCCACATTACTTCCCTGACTCTTCAGGAATGAGCCAGGCATACTTCCGTTTTAAGGCCTTTATCCCAGTTGTCTCTCTGCCAAAGTCCCTTTTACCCATACAGTCACCTGGCTAACTCTCCCTTCTGGCAAGAGTTGGCTCAAATGAGGTGATCGCTCTACTTAAATTAGAGCTCCACTCCCACCCACGGACCTCCTCCAGGGCTCCTCACCTCCCCAACCCTGGGTCGGCCTCATTCTTGCTTCTCTAGCTCTTTTCACGTCTAGTATACGATATAGCTGACTCACCATGCTTGTTATTTATCGTTTTTTGTGACCTAACTACAACATAAACTCCATGAGGAAAGGGATTTTTCTTTGTTTTGTTAACAGATATGTCCTGCAACTCTGGTATATGACCAAAGCTGAGTAAAAGAGTGAATAAGTTTATCAGATAAGCAGAAATTTATAAACCTAATAACACCCAGTAGTTGTACACAGCTGGTGGGAAAATGAACTGAATAAATAAACTTCCAGAGGGTAATTTGTCAATATATTTTAAACATCTTGTTATATTAAATACGTAAAGTCTTTAAAATCTTCAGCCTTTAAAAAAATTGACTTGAGAGAGGAGCGAGACATCAATTTGTTGTTCCACCTACTGCTGCATTCATTGGTTGATTCTTATACGTGCCCTCACGGGGACAGAACCTGCAACCTTGGCACATTACTAACCAACTGAGCTACTCAGCCAGGACATCAAATGTTCAGCCTTTTCATTAAGTAATTCAGTTGATTAGAAACAAATTCAGTTGGTTTCATTAAGTAATTCAGTTGAGCATCGTCCTGATACATCGTCCTGATACACCAAGGTTGTGGGTTTGGACCGCCCCCCGTCATGGTACATACAAGAATCAACTAATGAATGCATATATAAGTGGAATGACAGATTGAGGTCTCTTCCCCCTTCCTCTCTCTAAAAATCAACAAATGTAAAAAAAAGTAATTCCACCCTGGCTGGTGTAGCTCAGTGGATTGAGTGCGGGCCTGCAAACCAAAGGATCGAAGTTCAATTCCCAGTCAGGGCACACGCCTGGGTTGCAGGCCAGGTCCCAGTAGGGGATGCACGTGGGGCGGCCATGCATTGATGTTTCTCTCCCTCTCCCCTTCCCTTCCCCTCTAAAGACAGATAAATAAAATCTTTAAAAAAAAGTAATTCCATTTCTAAGTACATAGTCTAATAAACAAATCACAAACGCACTTCATGTAGCCATGATGAAAAATACATATCTATACTTACTACAGTAAATATTTCCTACAGTAACATCTAAACAAAAACTTAGGGTGTATTTGTATTAAATTAAGCCAAGCCTTCTTAACCAAGAACACAACTCCCCCTCTAACTTGGCAGGACTTAGGCAATGGCACACTTGCATTCAGCATTCTTCATCTGTTCTCCAATAAAACCTGAAGAGAACAATGGCTATTCTGTATCTATTACCAACTAGTACTGAGCTTTTCAGAAACTTATTAGCTTATTAAAGGTAGATTCCACCATTCACTCACATGACGTTCAGCACAGAATCATTGCGAATGACCTTATGGGAGACATCAGCTAGCAGGAAGAGACCACCATCTGTCCTCCGAATGCTAGCTGCATAGCCTGGCCAGATCTGCAATCTGAAGAGACAGGTGGGCTTTACCTTAGGGTTTTAAAAGAATCACAGATAATTCCATGCCTTCATCTGAAACAATGTTTGGAACAGATACTGTCCTTCCCTAGTTAACAATGAGAAAGCACCAGGAAACAAATTCAATTAAATCAACATCATGGGGAACTTACCAAAATACTAAACTATGGAAGAGATTAAACTGAAAAATTGTATTAACTATCCTAAAATGCTGCTGAGATTTTTGTCCTAAAGATGGTGATTTCAATGAAAATTTTATTTAAAGTGAGAAAGAGGAACATGCCACCGACCTGTGTTGCTGCAGTACCATAGCATCTGTCGGGTCATAGAAGTTCCTCCCCACAAGCTTCATATCTAAAAGTTTCATTACCCTGAAATAAAGAGCAAGAATGGGTTTTCTAGCAGAAGAATCCAAAAAATCAGGCTCCATTACTTCCAGCGCCATTCCCTCCGGAGGCCTGAAAGGTCAGAACATCGGTGCCTCGGCACACACAAAACGTAGCTTTCACGATGAGAACGCTCTTGACAGGAGTGAGAAAAGTTGCCTTGACATCTATCTCAGGGTGTATACAACTGACTGCAGCTTTTCCTATTCACTAAGTAACCAAGAACTGAGCTGATTTCCCAGGCTTAATTTATATTATTTTCACCATTAACTAAAAAACTCCCAAGAGTCAGCTTCTCAATTTACAGCTATCAGTCTGGCAGAGGAAGTTTGTTCCAGACAGTTCAGCTTACTAGACAGAAATTAGATCTTGTGTTTCTTATTAAAAAAAAAGGTGGTTGGGGGAAAAAACATTAAGAAAATTTGGGAGTCTAAAAAAGTTTAAAAGTTATGACCTGTCTGTATCTGGGAAAAAATTCTTCCAACAAAAATTTTTACACACTACCTTTTCAAGTAGCCCCACCACTAACACAATTACATGTGCAATTTTCAACACCTGTTTTTCAAGTTCCTCAACCCATCCCCCATCCAACTACCTCAAACCTACTTTCACATACCCAAATCTGGTCAATCACTTGAGATAACCTTTGAGTAACTTATCCTGAATGACATCCATTTATTTATTAAATGTTTCCAAACTCATCTCTATACACACTGTAGTGCAGTACCACCTAAGCTTCTTAAAGAGCATTGTTGTAAGACTGAGGGTAAAGGAAATAAGACATCAGCTGTTTTCTCACCGACGAAAAACAACATTGTAGAAAGGAATGCACAAGTCGGAACAGGGCTCCAGGATCTTGGTCAACTGAATCTTAATGCTGATCTCAGCACCATCGGTTCTCCTTTGACTTTTTAACTCAAGAACCTAACAAATAAATATATGCAAGTAAAAAGAAATGACAAAACTACCAAGCTCTAATCTAATCCAATTGTGTCTCAGAAAACATTAAAATATTTTAAATATGTTTTCTACTTCCCACTCATTTTGCTGCTCACACCGGACAAAATCACAGCATGACAACTAGGATTTAAGATTGGATTTAGTGATGCCCTGGCTGGTGTGGCTCAGTGGACTGAACACTGGCCTGTGAACCAAAGAGTCACCAGTTCGATTCCCAGTCAGGGCATGTGCCTGGATTGCAGCTCAGGTCCCCAGTAGGGGGCACACAAGAGGCAACCACACACTGATGTTTCTCTCCCTTTCTCCCTCCCTTCCCTTCTCTAAAAATAAACAAACAAATAAATATTTTTTAGAAGAATGGATTTGGTGAGAGATACCTAATGGAGAACTAGCAAAACATCCCTTTAAATTTGAAATCTTAAACCATTCCTTATCATTGAGGTCAAAGGATTCCAACCACTCCTCTTATGCAAGAAGGCAATTCTTATAAAAACTCAAATGTAAAGTTTCTCAGTTTGTCATTTCTTTGTCAAGGAAAAGTCTGACTTCCCCCTAAGAACAGGAAAGTACAATTCAAATGTTCAGGAAGTTTATGATTTCCTATCACTCAAAGCAGCAGAACATCCTTAGGTTTCATCTGAAAGTACATTTTCTGTTTGGTCTCACTTGTTGAAGTTTTACAGGCAGATAGAGAATGGATCCATCAAAAGCAGTGACATTTCCGGTGACAGCTTGATGGTCCTTCAACATGCCAAACCTCATGCTTTTGCACTCCACATTGGGGCTAGAAAATAACAAAGAGATTTTATTTCAATTTCATTCAAACAGTTAGAAAAGCAGTGTCTGTAACTACTGCTCCATCTAGTGGTCATATTAAAAATTCAAATACTCTGACTAAAAGCTTTGACCCAAGGAAGTATAATCGCTCACAAGAAGTAAAAACCACCCATGATTTCCACCCCCAAAGACAAATGCCATAACATTCTTCCAGAGTTTAGAACACAAGGTCAGAAAACCTTTTCTGCAAAGGGCCAGGCAGTAAACAGTTTAGGCTTCACTGGCCGTACAGTCTCTGTTGCAACAACTCAACTCCGCTGACACAGCACAGAAGCACCAGAAACAATATGCAAATCGATGAGTATGGCTATGTCCCTGCAAAACTGTATTATGGGATTTTCCCTAACCATTTTCACTCATGGAAATTTCAACTTTTTTTTTTAATTGATTATGCCATTACAGTTGTCCCTTCCCCCCTCTTCATTCCCCTCCACCCTGCACCCCCCGCCTCCACCATTCCGCCCCTTTAGTTTATGACCACGTGTCTCAAGTCCTTTAGATTTTATATTTCCCATTCTATTCTTGCCCCCCATCTACTTTCTATCTACCGTCTATGCTGCTTATTTTCTGTACCTTCTCCCCCACTCTCCTCCTCCCACTCCCCTGTTGCTAACCCTCCATGAGATCTTCATTTCTATGTTTCTGCTCCTGATCTAGCTGTTCTTTTAGTTTGCTTTTGTTTTAGGTGTGGTTGTTAATAACTGTGAGTTTGCTGTCCTTTCACTGTTCATATTTTTTATCTTCTTTTTCTTAGATAAGTCCCTTTAACATTTCATATCATAAGGGCTTGGTGATGATGAACTCCTTGAATTTGATCTTATCTGAGAAGCACTTTATCTGTCCTTCCACTCTAAATGAAAGTTTTGCTGGATAGAGCAATCTTGGATGTAGGTCTTTGGATTTCATGACTTGGAATACCTCTTTCCAGCCCTTTCTTGCCTGTAAGGTCTCTTTTGAGAAATCAGCTGACAGACTGATGGGAACTCCTTTGTAGGTGACTCCCCTTATCTCTTGCTGCTTCTAGGATTCTCTCCTTCATTTTAATCTTGGCTAATGTAATGATGATGTGCCTTGGTATGTTCCTTCTTGGGTCCAACTTCTTTGGGACTCTCTGAGCTTCCTGGATTTCCTGGAAGTCTATTTCCTTTGCCGGATTGGGGAAATTCTCCTTTATTATTTGTTCAAATAAATTTTCCACTCGTGGCTGTTCCTTTCCCCCTTCTGGTACCCCTATAATTCGGATGTTGGAGCATTTCAAGATGTCCTGGAGGTTCCTAAGCCTCTCCTCATTTTTTTGAATTCTTGTTTCTTCATATTTTCCCGTTTGGCCATTTTCCTCTTTCTGTTTCACTCCCTTGATTTGAGTCCCAGTTTCCTTTTCATCACTATTGGTTTCCTATGCAATTCCCTTCATTTCAATTAGTTTCACCTTCATGTGCTCCTCTAACTTGTGACTAAAATCAACCAGTTCTATGAGCATCCTGATCACCAGTGTTTTGAACTGTGCATCTGAAAGTTTTGCTATTTCTTCACTGCTTAGAGTTATGAGCTTTGGGGCTTTGAGATCTTGAGCCATTTTTGGTCTGTTCGTGCCTGTTAAGTATGAGGAGCAAAGCCTTAGATGTTCACCAGGGCATGGCCGCAGGGGGGGGGGCCACCCAGGTCGCTGGGTTGTGACACTGTATGTGGGGGTGGGGTCAGAGTGGGGAAATGGCAGCCCCCTCTGCTGCCTCCTGCAGCTGGGGCCTGCTCGGCCCGTCTCACCACCAACTCCCTCGCCAGTCTATCTGCACACGAATGCGGGACCACAGTCAACCCGCCGCCCTGCGCCCTCACTGGGTCCACTGGTCGCTCACTGGGTCACTCACTGAAGCTCACTGGGTCTGCCCTTTGCAACCCCATGTCTGGGATCCATAGGCCTGAGTCCGTCTGACCGAGTTTTCCTGAGCAACCCTGCTCCGCCAGCTGCTGGCTTCGCCCCTCTTACTGGTCAGGCTGAAGCATTCGTTGTTATCAGACTTCCGAAAAGTTCCATTTTCTGTGTCCTGGCTGTGTTTTCTGTTGCTAATATTTTGTTATCTCTAAACTCGGAGGTGTGAGAAAGCACAGCGTCCCCACCTATGCCTCCATCTTGGCGGAAGTCCTCAGAAATTTCAACTTTTTATTTATTCATTACCACAAACCTTACAGTTCTGAAAAAGTCTAATAGCTTGTTTGCACCACGAGTGTCCCATTATAGCACAGTAACACACAACCTCGTTCCACAGCTGCAAAGTTTAAACCCAAGGCCAAAAAGGGTCATCACACATGTTCAAGTAAATGAATAAGGATTTAAAAAACCAAGTGGTAATCCCATGTAGTTGTCCCCAAAACCCCACACTTACATATTAACATTGTATTTCAAACAGTTTCTTCAGAAAAATTCTTACATGTGCATATATATGAACACAGTATTCAAAGATGTCTTTCCAGACCCCCTTCCTGTGGTACAAGGAAGCTACAGGATGACCCAGCCACTGTGACACATCCTCTCAGAACTCTCTCAGGAGCCGGCATCCTTCGTACATGGCAGCTTCCAAGGTCCAGATGTACAATCTTGAAATTTATAGAACCCATGTCTTCTCCTGGTCAAGGCAGAGACCTATGAAGACTCTCACACCCTTTTCTGTTTCATTAACATTTGTCAATCCATTTCCAGGTAAAGAGTTCTTCCCTCTCGTTAATGCTCAACTTCCCTTATGTTCCAGAACAGGCCATTCCAATACCTTCCACTCTCCAAGGTTCAATTTCACCCACTCTTCTAAATCCTTCTATTCACCTGTCATGTGTTCTCAGTTCTGTTTTCTTGCTGCATAGAAACCTTTAAAGCAACACTCTTCATTGTACCATTTCTCATTCCTCTTACACACTTTTAAAGTAAGTGGCTAATTCTCTGGTTATTCCTATGCTCTCCTTTGTTCTTTTAGTCTAGTTTTGTCTCCATAACTCTATAAAGTACTGGAATATCCCCAACAGTCCTCTTCAAAGTAAATTGCAACTTATTTTTCCTGTGGTCAAAGTTAACCACCTCCTCCCCATTTAAATGGGCCCTTCCTTTGGTCTTCATAATCATCTTCGGGGTTGTTCCCTCTAGCTTCCTTCCTTCTCTTTCACTCCACTTCTTACTCATGTACCAATTAGTAGCTGTCCTCCAAAAATTCAGTCTTCTGCCCTCGCCAGGTAACTTGGTTGGAGCATCGTCCCATACACCAAAAGACTGCGGGTTCAATCCCTGGTCAGGGCACATACCGAGGCTGTAGATTCAATCCCTGGTCGAGGTGTGTATGGGAGGCGACCAATCAATGTTTCTCCTTTCGCACATCAATGTGTCTCTTTCCCTTCCTCTCTAAAATCAATGATCATATTTTGTTTTAATTCACTCTTCCATCTTCCTAGTTTCTCCACATATATTCCAAAACACACATTCATTTTCACACTTCTAGCTAATGACTTTCCTAACATTTTAAGAGAGAAGATAAACTAATATGAATTCTTAATTTAAAAGAAGTAATGGTTAACCCTAAAGTTATCAATATGACAGTAAAGTTATTTTCTCTGATTTTCTCACCATCAAACTTAACCCTGGAGGACTTCTGGCCAAGATGGAGGTATATGTAGAGACACTATGCCTCCTTGCACAACCAAATTTAAGGACAACAAAGATTTAGAAACAAAAGCACAACCAGAACAGACAGAAAATTGAACTGTACAGAAGTCCGACAACAACAAACCATTCATCCAGACTGGTAAGAGGGGCGGAGTCAGTGGCGGGCGGAGAGGGGTCCCAGCAGGAAGAGGCAGTGGTTAGCAGAACAGGGTGTGGGGAAGAATCCGGCAAACCCAGTCAGGCAAGCAAGGCGGCTGGATGACCATGGACACACATTCACATGCAGATAAACCAGGCAAAAAATGGGCAGTGAGACAGACCACGCAACCCAGGGCCCCAGCACTGGGAAATAAAGCCTAAAAGCACTGATTGAAAAAACTTTCGGGGGTCAAGGTGCCGGGAGAGGCTCTCAGGCTCACAGGAGAGTTAGTTGGAGAGACCCACAGGGTCCTAGAACGTACACAAGCCCATCCACCCGGGAACCAGCACCAGAAGGGCCCAATTTGCTTATGGGAAGCGGCAGAGAGGACCAAAATCTGAGAGAGAGAAGAATAAACACCATTGTTCCTTCCTGACCCGGCCCCCACTTACAGAGTCACAACCCAGCAACTGGGTCACCCCGCCCTGGTGAACACCTAAGGCTCTGCCACGCATACATTACATGAGCAACCTGACCAAAAATAGCTCCATCAGAACAACTCAAAGCCCCAGAGCCAATACTTTTAAAGCAACCAAGAGATAGCCAACCTATCAGATGCACAGTTCAAAACACTAGTGATCAGGATGCTCACAGAACTGGTTGATTTTAGTCACAAATTAGAGGAACAAATGAAGGCTACACTAAGTGAAATGGAGCAAAATGCACAGGGAACCAATAGTGATGGGAAGGAAACTGGGACTCAAATCAATGGAGTGGACGAGAAGGAAGAAAGAAACAACCAAACAGAAAAGAATGAAGAAACGAGAATTCAAAGAAATGAGAAGAGGCTTAGGAACCTCCAAGACATCTTTAAACATCCTAACATCCGAATTATAGGGGTACTAGAAGGACAAGAGGAAGAGCAACAAGTGGAACACTTATTTGAACAAATAATAAAGGAGAACTTCCCCAAGCTGGCAAAGGAAACAGACTTCCAGGAAATCCAGGAAGCTCAGAGAGTCCCAAAGAAGTTGGACCCAAGAAGGAACACACCAAGGCACATCATCATTACATTAGCCAAGATTAAAATGAAGGAGAGAATCCTAGAAGCAGCAAGAGATAAGGGGACAGTCACCTAAAAAGGAGTTCCCATCAGTCTGTCAGCTGATTTCTCAAAAGAGACCTTACAGGCAAGAAGGGGCTGGAAAGAAGAATTCCAAGTCACGAAATTCAAGGACCTACATCCAAGATTGCTCTATTCAGCAAAGCTTTCATTTAGAATAGAAGGGCAGATAAAGTGCTTCTCAGATAAGGTCAAGTTCAAGGAGTTCATCATCACCAAGCCCTAATTATATGAAATGTTAAAGAGACTTATCTAAGAAAAAGAAGTTAAAATATAAATAGTAAAATGACAAGCTCACAGTTATCAACAACTGAAGCTAAAACAAAAAAAAAAACAAACTAAGCAAACAACTAGAACAAAAACAGAACCACAGAAATGGAGATCACATGGAGGGTTAGCAACAGGGGAGTGGGAGGAGGAAAGGTGGGGAGAAGGTACAGAGAATAAGTAACATAGATGGTGGGGAGAAAATAGACAGGGGCAGGAAAAGAGTAGTGTGGGAAATGTAGAACCTAAAGAACTTATGACCCATGGACATGAACTAAAGGGAGGGAAGGTGGGTGGAAGGGGGTGTGGGACTCAAGTAGGGAGGACCCAGGTTTTGTGAGACATCCATCTCACACCATTAGGGGAGAGGGACTCTGTTTAAGAAGACTACAATTATTACAGACACAAAATAAGTTAAAAGGTCATGGAATGGGGTCCACTGAAGTATAAGGCCCTGAACTTAAGCTTAACTTCATAGTAAATCACCTCTAATCTCATGCATAAAACTGTACCTATTAGGTTAAAATCTGAACTTGTAATATAACTAAATTTAAAAAATTGTTTTTTAAAAGATTTTATTTATTTTATTTTCAGAGAGGGGAAGGGAGGCAGATACAGAGGGAGAGAAACATCAATGTGTGGTTGCCTCTCACACACCCCTAGTGGGGACCTGGCCCATAACCCAGGCATGTGCCCTGACTGAGAATCCAACCTGCCACCCTTTGGTTCTAAGGCTGGTGCTCAATCCACTGAGCCACACCAGCCAGGGCTAAAAATTTTTTTTAATGTTAAACTTATTGCATCTAAGGATCCTCATACATGTATTATTTTGGAAGTAGGAGAGAAGTTCATCAGGAATCATACTAAAAATATTTAGTAATTCCAGGTGAAAGATTTCATTACTGCTAAGTAGTGAACAATACAGAGAAAAAAGCTATGAATACCTGAAAGTCACATGATACTGATAAACTGCTTCATTATGACAATGTATTTTGATAAGGTTCAATCCCAAAGGTTGAGGTTTTCCTTTTGATCCTTGCTTCATAAAAAGCTCTCTGAAAAAATAAAAAACAAAAGCACCCACACATACCACAAACATACACAAAAAGGTAAGTAATATTTTATACTTTACTTACAGATATACAAAGCAAAAATTGAAGCATACAAAAGCAAAGTTTGAAGGCTAGTAGATAAATGACTAGTAGCCAGTAGACAGAAGGCTAGTGACAATCTCTAAAGAAGCAAGGTCACTCTATTTGTCCTAGATCACTGGAATAAACTAGGCCAGCTAACTAAGAACATAAGAATTAATTATACAGAGAAAAATGAATTATGTGATATTTTTCCTGAGTGATTTCCTTATCTTCACCATGACAAAGAACTCTCTACATCTGAATGAAGAAGGAAATGGGAAATCACAAGTCCACTCTCTGGTACATACTGTCTATGTATCGCTAATCCCATTTCCCTTCAGTAGGGATTGCCCCACCTCTCTGTCATTCTCCCCATGAGCGAAAAAACAAAGCGAACAACTCTGCAGGACCTACCACCCATGGAGGACTTCAAACACAACAGAAACAACATTTATAACACTATGAGAAGCCCCGCCACCCCCACTGCACTCACAACCAGAGACAGCTGAGTACCCGACTTACTTTTTTTGGTGCTCTGCAGTCCCCAGTGGAAGGTGATCCAGAGAGCGTAGTGAGGACAGGGGCAGCAGTGGCAGTGATGGCTGTTGGGCAGGACCACAAGAAGGCACGTTGACAGCACCAGGAGCCTTGTACACGCCTCTGCCTATGCCACCAGCTGCTCTTCCCAACGGCAACACAGGCATGTCCAAACTCCCTCTTCCAAGCATTCTGAAAAGTTGAAAAGAGGCAAATCAGGACCTTCTGAATCATGCTTCTACCTCTGACCCATCTAAATGATTCCAAGTCCACATTCTCTTCCTGGAGGAGTCAATAAGAAGGATGAAAGCCTTGGGATTCTCTCCAAGACCAATATGCCAACTTGACTCACTCACCAACTGCTACTAACACTGCCTCTCAGGGCCAAGCTTTCACTGCAGAATTGAGGTGGGGATTTGACTCCCTTCGATTAAAGAATAACTACAACAGGTTAACTTCATGAAGTTGTGAAGTACCCAGTGGAGCACTACTTTTTTGCCCTTTCCAACGACTAGCTGAATCAGTAGCTACTAACTACTCTTAGAAAGTATTCGTTGTTTAATATAAAACCATGCAGAGTTTGTGAGATAATATAACCTTTTCATTTTCTTACATTTTTTATTTTAAAAGAAATTTTTTTAGTCCTCACCAAAGGATTTGTTTTATTGATTTTAGAGAGAAAGGGGGAGAGAGAAAGAGAGAAACATCTGTCAGTTGCCTCCTATATGAGACCCCACCAGGGACTAAACCCACAACCCAGGCACATGTGCCAACCGGGAATCAAATCTGCAACACCTTGGTGTACAGGATAATGCTCCAACCAACTAAGCCACCTGCCCAGGGCAATACAACCTTTTTAGGGTCACCATTTGGGCTTACTGAGATACTTCATCTGAATTTGACAATCTCCTGAGAAGTAACCTTTACCCACCTATTCCAACCAATGGAGGCTTCTGCCATCTTGCTATCCCCAGCTGCCAACACTGACGGGTCCAGAAAAGCAGGACGGGGTTCTTCTTTTTCCTTGTGCACCACACTGACAGACAAGCCTCGGCCTAAAATGCCTCTGCCTAAATGAAAGGATCAAACCTCAGCTATGACTGTGAGTTGAGCATGTTGTATAGTTATTTTTCTGAAGATAAACTGTATGAATTTAAGAATAAAGCGATCATACATACTACCACGTTTTCTCAAGTTAGTTTTCCACATACCTAAGGAAGGCATTTCCTGTTTCACAGGGGTCTGGGACTTTGTTTCAAGGCCTAGTCCCTGGAACATGGAGACCAAACCCACAGATTCCTATGGAAAGTCAAAGAATAAAGTCATTCCAAGATATAGTTTAAAACCCCAGAAACACTGATGGTTTTCTTAAAGTCTTGGTAAATAATATAAATCATCTTCTTTAAATTCTATAAATGTTACAACAAAGAATAAAAATATCTCATGTTTTTAAAAATGTCTAATTTTTTTAAAAAAACATGTAGTAACTATGTCATATATAGCTAAAGTCCATGATTTCATATATAGTATAACAGAATTAACTTTTACATTTTTCTGATTTATTTCCAGTATACCCAAGGTGGACCAGTACACTCAGGAGGAAATGAGTATATTGGTAAATAAATTTTCAAAAACACTGGATCATTTCAAGGTATACGGGGTTATTTTTAACAACCACCAACAAAAGTTACTATTATAGTCCTATAATAGTCTTAAAGTTTACTGCTATTACACTAGTTCAAACTGCCACACACAGACTCTACCAATTCATCCAAGTAATGATACAAGATTACTGTCATCAAATTTTCTTTTTATAGAACATTATATGTGACACTGCCAACTCTATTTAAAATTGTCACAACTGTGATATTAGGTTTCCCCGTATTTGCTAACTATTCTTTGAGATTTATTAATTACAGACAAATACCATCCTAAAATTTCTATATAATTAGGAGATTAAGAATGCACAGACAAGCAGTAGCAATAGCTGAAGATTCTCCTTTTTAAAAGATCTGGGCAAAAAGCCTTCTTAAAAAAATTCTTAATAATTATTACCTCAGAGGTAGGAGTGGCTGCTAATACTGCAAAACCAATTCCAGAGTAAAAATCTAAACACCCAGGAAGAGCAAAAGGATATACCTTTAAACCTATCATATTCATTCATATATATATATATATATATATATATATATATATGTGTGTGTGTGTGTGTGTGTGTCTGTGTGTATATATATATATGTATATATATGGTAGAGGACTAAGGCATTTACCCAAATCCATTTGGCATTCATCATGAGGCACTTTTTCTAGACTCACAACTAGAAGGGTTTGAAATATATGCTCAGAAGATGCAACTACTTGTTAAAGGGGGGGGACAAACAAACCCACCCTCATTTTCACATCTAGGCCTTCACAGTTTTCTAAGCACTATGAGATCCATTATTTTCTCTGATGATAAACTACACGCTGCTACTATGTGTCAGACACGGCCTTACCCTTTGTGCAAGCCCACTCTGTGAGCTTGGCTCCTCTGGTTTTCCAAACAGGCAGCCTCTGCCTACAGGTCTTGCTCTGCCCAGAGTGGAGGCCAAAGGTTTAGGAGCTTGCGGCCAAGAGCCTGGCATCCGTACACACTGAAACGGGTGCCCTGGGGAAGGGCCCCTGAAGGGTGGCCGGACAGGATCCATTAGAAGGCTGCAGAGAACACCGCGTCGATCCTGTTCTGGTTAATTACCTGCCAGCATTTTACAAAGATTAAAGATTCCCAATCGTTTTCCTTTTCCTTCAAGACAGACTCACAAAGTATTAAAGACAGACTTACCTTTGGTCAGACCAGTGATACAACCAGCCTCCTACATCATGTTCACGTCAAAAGTTTCTATTTAGCCCAGAATATTCTAAACACTCCCCATTAGCATTCTCTTAGAGGCTAAGTCCTCCTCGAATTTTTGTTTCCTACCCAAACAACCTCTTGGAGAGCTCAGTCCCATACGTTAACTACCTGTTTTAGGCAGAAGTACAGTTTATGTACGGGCATAAGAAAATTAATAGTTAACAGACATGCTGTAATAACGTCAATAAATACTTATGGGTTTGCTTTATTTCTGACCTTTTTCCTTTACCAGAGAGCTAATTTGTCCCAGCTCATTATCACATTAAATTATTACATCTCCTCTTTGATCTCCTTAGTAGCTTCTCCGCATATTGTCCCATTTCTCCCTATAAAACTTTTCAAACTCCACCAAACTGAGGTCTCCAGGGTACAGACCCTTTCTGCTTTGAGCCTACAATACCTGCTGAATGTCGGGGGAGATTTAACACTTTTTTCTCCCCAAGGTAACGAAATGAGGCTATTCTGGCCTCCCATATCTCAGGTACTCTTCAAAATCACTTTATAACCTACAGATTTCAGGAATCCTTCTTAAAGGGTCTTCCTTCATTGTCCTCACCTACTCCTGATCCTGAAGGAACCTTTCCTAACTGAAAACTTAAGCTCCTTCTTAACTTTTTTGCAAATCTGTCTTACGTGTTAGCTACAGAGAAATCAGGTTACGCAAGTAAAGAAAAGACTGGCACACAATTCTTAGCCAATACGATAGGTGGAGGGTCCGGGATCTGACGAAAAGATTTTTAACTCAGCTATCCTCTTTTACACTAAAAAACCAGGATACGTCCCCCTTCCTCAAAAACTCTCTTCTTTAATTTCTTAAACTCCTTTTCAGTTAGCCTGGCCTTTTGGCTCTCACCTTCCCAGCACCACCTGTGTAATCCAGAACAACAGTTACCTACCTGGGACACACTGAGATGCGCTATAACCCCTACCAATTATAGGACTTCTGGAATCTTCCTCGTTCCCCACTCCCCCTCACCCCTCCATCATCACGGATAACAGAGGTGGGCATTCCCTCCCAGGAGGCACTTCTTTGATTAGAGAGCACTGTAAGGTCCAAAAGGGAAAGGTCCCAGGCGGGGCCTACCTTCCCGCCTCCAGGTGCGAGTTCCTGGCTGGGCCATTAGGACTGGGGCCTACCTGGAAGGGAGCCCCCGCCCCTCCCCAAAGGCAACTCCCACCCGCCTGCCACCTCAGAGAAAAGCACCACCCCCCAAACCCGAGGTCCTGCCCCCGACTGAGGTCCAAGTAACACGAGAGAACACTTAAACCCCGCGAGAGTCCCCTCCCTCTCTAGGCGGCCACCTTCATACCTCCAGGAGGTCCGAGGTCCTGCGTCCGCCCGCACACGCAGCCTCAAATAACCACTTCCTGCTCCCGGCCGGCTTGAATCGCAAGGCCCCTCGCACCTCTGGGGGAGGGTCAGGTCGGCCGTGGGCGTGCAGGGCCACCGCGCCACCACGAGCTACAGCCGAAGCCCTCTGGCCTGTCCTGCTACTTCGGCCTCCCTGGCCTTCCACACCCACATAGACACCACTCACCAAGGCCCAGCCCTCGCCTGGCTCTGCAGGGCTCAAAAATACCCTGCACTCAACGCAGCAGCCGCCACACCCATGCGCCCACGTGCTCAAAGCCGAATTTCCGGTCCGCTCGTGGGCCTCGGCCCAGAGCCCATTGGCCAAACACGTGCCCCTCACAAGATCCCGTCATCTCATTGGCTCAACTGCAAAAAGAGCCGCTCCCTTTCTAGCAGCCTCCCTCCACTGGAGGTCTGTACCAAAGGGGTGCTAGAAATGGGGGTCCTGAAGTTAGGAGTGAACCAAAGCATTAAAATGTGTCACCTTAAAGGATTTTGTGGCCCTTTCGGTGGGCAACTCCTGTAAATGGATTAAGCTCACTCGCTCATGTTGAAATTGACTTGCTCCATCCTTTCCAGTTAGAGGATATAGGGATATAGGTGATGGGTAAAAAAGAGTAAGCTTGGGTTTTACAAACACCTAATTGCCTGAACTCTGTGCTTCACTTTCCCTACATATAAAATAGGACTAAAGCATCCATCCATAGGAATGTATGGAAATGCACATACATTCATGAGATGATGTATGTAAAACACTTAGCACAAATTGTCTGCAATAAATGTTGCCTATCCTTATTTATTGATTTCTAAATCTGTGAGCCAAGAAGAGCTTTCTTCAAGTTATATAAATTGGTGTTTAATTCTGCTATTATTGAACACTTTTACCCAAAGAAATAAAGATTTCTCCCCCTCTCCCAACCATTTTGGCAAATAATTGCACCCCTCTCCAAGCCCAGTTTGTCTGAGGTGGTTGGAATCAAGCTTCAGAGATCCTGGCTTACACTGTAGAGACCGGCAAATGCTCGGCATGGTGTACAGCAGAAGCATTTTCCAAGCCTCATGTATCTCATACCTTGTTTTAACCCATTCATGCAAGGACTCCCCTCTCCTTCCCAAATTAGAATAGAGTTTGAAAATTATTGGAGCGGAGGATTTTCAAAGCAGGAATCTCTTAGCAGAATACCTCTGTCACGTTTTGTAGATGTTATTTGTTTAACGTTATGTCATAATATTGTAAGTTCTACGGCACAATTTTATGTTATAGTAACATATAGGCAGAATTATTCTGTTGTTCATGCAAACATTTAATAGCAAGTACACTCAAAAACAGTTATATGAACTGTGCTGTAACCTTGATAAAGCCCCAGCTCCCTGTGGTTCTAGGTACTCTTACCAAATCTTTCATAAAAGATTCATTCCATACTTGGGAAGTAATATTTTAGGCATGGGATTGAACAGATCTTCACAATAGCAATCCTCAAATAACTTTATGAAGCCATCTGTTTTGTCATCTAAACCAGAGCGCCATTATAAAGGGCATATATGTACTGGGTTCCCTAGGTTTCTACATCCTGCCAAGAGGAGTAGGTGACCTCTGTGCAGTATTTGTTGCCAACTGGTACACCACACATACTGTTTATTTCACCAAAGGAAAACCTATATAGTATTTACATTGATTGGAGATAAAGATGTTCAAAGCTCTCTAAAGAGTGGATACCCACTTAGGACCTTCCAAAAGCTAGTCAACCTCTCCTGGAGTTTGTTTTCCTCATCAGGGCACTTCAACTGTCATTTTACCATCACTAGGATATCAATTAAAAACAACACACATATTATGCTGTTAAAGTATTTAAAATTAAATTGCAGATGATATTTTTATAACACAAAATTCCGTCCACATGATCCTGCCAGGCTTGGAAACTCAGGGCAAAGATGGTCCGTATAGCCACATGTAGTCTGGGTTTCCCAGGCACTCATGACTTCACACACTCTGGCCTTTT